ATCTTTATTTTCTATTCTATTCCTTTGTTTTATTCTATTCTTTGATTTTCTATACTATACCATTCTGTTTTACTCCAATCTAATCCATTATTTTTTATTTCTATTTTATTCTATTCAGTGTGTAATGTACAGAGTGCAGGGTCCGTAGTGTGCAATGTACAGAGTGCATGGGTCCATAGTGTGCAATGTACAGAGTGCAGGGTCCATAGTGTGCAATGTACAGAGTGCAGGGTCCATAGTGTGCAATGTACAGAGTTCAGGGTCCATAGTGTGTAATGTACAGAGTGCAGGGTCCATAGTGTGCAATGTACAGAGTGCAGGGTCCATAGTGTGCAATGTAAGAGTGCAGGGTCATAGTATGTAAGTACAGAGTGCAGGGTCCATAGTGTGCAATGTACAGAGTGCAGGGTCCATAGTGTGCAATGTACAGAGTGCAGGGTCCATAGTGTGTAATGTACAGAGTGCAGGGTCCATAGTGTGTAATGTACAGAGTGCAGGGTCCATAGTGTGCAATGTACAGAGTGCAGGGTCCATAGTGTGTAATGTACAGAGTGCAGGGTCCATAGTGTGTAATGTACAGAGTGCAGGGTCCATAGTGTGTAATGTACAGAGTGCAGGGTCCAGGAGTATGTAATGTACAGAGTGCAGGGTCCATAGTGTGTAATGTACAGAGTGTAGGGTCCATAGTGTGCAATGTACAGAGTGAAAAGGGTCCATAGTGTGTAATGTACAGAGTGCAGGGTCCGTAGTGTGCAATATACAGAGTGCAGGGTCATAGTGTGCAATGTACAGAGTGAAGGGTCCATAGTGTGTAATGTACAGAGTGCAGGGTCCGTATGTGCAATACAGAGTGCAGGGTCCCAGGAGTGTGTAATGTACAGAGTGCAGGGTCCATAGTGTGTAATGTACAGAGTGCAGGGTCCATAGTGTGTAATGTACAGAGTGCAGGGTCCATAGTGTGCAATGTACAGAGTGCAGGGTCCATAGTGTGCAATGTACAGAGTGCAGGGTCCGTAGTGTGTAATGTACAGAGTGCAGGGTCCATAGTGTGTAATGTACAGAGTGCAGGGTCCATAGTGTGTAATGTACAGAGTGCAGGGTCCATAGTGTGCAATGTACAGAGTGCAGGGTCCATAGTGTGTAATGTACAGAGTGCAGGGTCCATAGTGTGTAATGTACAGAGTGCAGGGTCCATAGTGTGTAATGTACAGAGTGCAGGGTCCGTAGTGTGTAATGTACAGAGTGCAGGGTCCATAGTGTGTAATGTACAGAGTGAAGGGTCCCATAGTGTGTAATGTACAGAGTGCAGGGTCCGTAGTGTGCAATATACAGAGTGCAGGGTCCGTAGTGTGCAATATACAGAGTGCAGGGTCCAGGAGTGTGTAATGTACAGAGTGCAGGGTCCATAGTGTGCAATGTACAGAGTGCAGGGTCCATAGTGTGTAATGTACAGAGTGCAGGGTCCATAGTGTGCAATGTACAGAGTGCAGGGTCCATAGTGTGCAATGTACAGAGTGCAGGGTCCATAGTGTGTAATGTACAGAGTGCAGGGTCCATAGTGTGTAATGTACAGAGTGCAGGGTCCATAGTGTGTAATGTACAGAGTGCAGGGTCCATAGTGTGCAATGTACAGAGTGCAGGGTCCGTAATAAGTAATGTACAGAGTGCAGGGTCCATAGTGTGTAATGTACAGAGTGCAGGGTCCGTATTAGTGTGTAATGTACAGAGTGCAGGGTCCATAGTGTGCAATGTACAGAGTGCAGGGTCCATAGTGTGTAATGTACAGAGTGCAGGGTCCATAGTGTGTAATGTACAGAGTGCAGGGTCCATAGTGTGCAATGTACAGAGTGCAGGGTCCGTAGTGTGTAATGTACAGAGTGCAGGGTCCGTAGTGTGTAATGTACAGAGTGCAGGGTCCATAGTGTGCAATGTACAGAGTGCAGGGTCCATAGTGTGCAATGTACAGAGTGCAGGGTCCATAGTGTGCAATGTACAGAGTGCAGGGTCCATAGTGTGCAATGTACAGAGTGCAGGGTCCATAGTGTGCAATGTACAGAGTGCAGGGTCCATAGTGTGTAATGTACAGAGTGCAGGGTCCATAGTGTGCAATGTACAGAGTGCAGGGTCCATAGTGTGCAATGTACAGAGTGCAGGGTCCGTAGTGTGCAATGTACAGAATGGAGGGTCCATAGTGTGTAATGTACAGAGTGCCGGGGTCCATAGTGTGTAATGTACAGAGTGCAGGGTCCAGGAGTGTGTAATGTACAGAGTGCAGGGTCCATAGTGGTAATGTACAGAGTGCAGGGTCCATAGTGTGCAATGTACAGAGTGCAGGGTCCATAGTGTGTAATGTACAGAGTGCAGGGTCCATAGTGTGTAATGTACAGAGTGCAGGGTCCATAGTGTGTAATGTACAGAGTGCAGGGTCCGTAGTGTGCAATGTACAGAGTGCAGGGTCCAGGAGTGTGTAATGTACAGAGTGCAGGGTCCATAGTGTGTAATGTACAGAGTGCAGGGTCCATAGTGTGCAATGTACAGAGTGCAGGGTCCATAGTGTGCAATGTACAGAGTGCAGGGTCCATAGTGTGTAATGTACAGAGTGCAGGGTCCGTAGTGTGTAATGTACAGAGTGCAGGGTCCGTAGTGTGCAATGTACAGAGTGCAGGGTCCATAGTGTGTAATGTACAGAGTGCAGGGTCCAGGAGTGTGTAATGTACAGAGTGCAGGGTCCGTAGTGTGTAATGTACAGAGTGCAGGGTCCATAGTGTGCAATGTACCCAGCCCCATTAATTTGGTTAACAAAGGGGGTGGGGACAAGCAGTTGAGATTGTTGTGTAAATAGGGTGACAAGGCCTTATATGGGCAATGACCTCACGGGGTATACCCAGCTCTTTGGTTACACTCAGTGGAGGGGACCAGAGCTGTCATTCCTGGCCGGTGTAGTAATGGGTTCGGATGTTTTTTATCTTTCTGTGAGTAGAGGGTGTCGCTCACCTTGACTGATTGCGATGGGCATTGCTGGATGACTTACCTTCAGTTACATTCACGATGAATTCACATTGTGCGACTTTTATATTTTATTTATTTATTAATACCGGAAATGTCAGACAGTGCGGTGTGTGTAATTACTATGTGCGGTACATGGTTCCGTAATTCATGAGGTACATAGTACGCCTTACTCATTCACATGGGGGGCTGTTATCAGGGGATTCCCTTTATTTTAATGGGGCTTTTATATTCCAATAACCCCCCCCCCCACCCACAGACCACCCGCCATCACCAGGCCACGGTTGTGGGTATGTGGCCCTTGTTCTCATTAACATGGCTACAATGTGATTTGCTGGGGGAACCCCCATCCATAAGGACATGTGGCCTGGCAAGGTTCAGGAAGGACACTTTCTCATCCTCCCCTTTATTGGGCAGCCAGTCTGCCTGCTCAGATAAGGTCTCGTAAGGACTTCATGGGAGTATACTTTTTTCTTTTTTGCGTGGGGCATCCATAAAATCCACACCAGGCTGGGAGGATCTGGTATTTAATATAGGTTCAATGCAACATTTTGTTTTTCTTGTTTTCTTTGTATCCCTTCCTACCTTGGCAGTTCTCGGTTGTCAGACTGGTGACAGCAGTGGTGGTGGTGGGAGTGGTCTTCTCAGGTAGACTGGTGGTGGAAGTGGTTGTCATACGTAGATTTGTGGTGGAGGTGGTTGATGTATGTAGACTGGTGGTGGAGGTGGTTGACGAGTGTACACTGGTGGTGGGAATGGTAGATGTATGTGGACTGGTGGTGGGAATGGTAGATGTAAGTGGACTGGTGGTGGGAGCGGTCTTCTCATCTAGCGGGCCCTGGCAGTCACAGCTCAAACCACTGCCATAGAAGTTGAAGGAGCTGGAGATGTTCCCAGCATGGGACAATGAAATTGTGACACCTGCAGAGAACAGAAAATTACAGATTAATGGAACATCTCATCCATTTCTAGAATAATTCCTCCTGGGTTAGGGCTGCACCAGATGTGCTCCTATCAGTACTGTAGTCTGCTGTTAGAAACCACGTGGCCCCATACAGCCAACCTGGTAGGGCCCCCCGAAAAAAAAAGAGTTTACTATGCTACAGTTAACACAGCGAGTGACTGGTACCAATCACTCATTGTGTTCATTCAGGAATGAAAGGGGCTAGTAAAAGTGACCCTTCCCCCACTCTCCATCCTGAAGGATCCTATCCTAAGAAGAGAAGGGAAGCTGGATGAACTGCTGGAGTGGAGGCACACAGGGGGGGCCCTGGGTAGCAGAGGGGCAATTACTGGAACAAATCCCCTGTCTGAAACCAGGGGGAGGAGAGCTGATGAAGTCCACTTTCAGCTGCTGCAGAGAGAGCCATACAGGGGATTGGTTCCAGTAACTGCCCCCCACCCCCACGCTGATCACCCTCCCTGCCCACATTTGAGTCACTCAGCTGGCTTGGGCCCCGTACAGTAGGACCAGTGGTACCCCAGTATCCACAGCCCTGACTGCAGAGGTATCAGCCAAATCATAATGTGCAACTTGAACTCTACCTTGTGAATACAAGAGAAGTAAAAATGCTGATAAAAAGGTAAGTGTCAGGAAAGGACTCACTGCTGGCTGCAGTACCGGGACATACCAGCAGGTGTCTTTTCAGCAGCCAGGATCTCACTCTTGCAATCAAGTCATCACCTGAGGCTGATTGCAGGAGGTGTATTTAAACAGCAACCAGGCTGGCAATCAGTGCCTTGGTGTTTTCCTTGAGCCTCTGCTACCTGCGCTGTGTCCCGTCCTGTCTCCCCCTGCATCCCATGGTTGATCTCCCATGTATGACCCCGGCTGGCCTGACTGTTCTTGTTGCTGTTCGAGTTTGTATTGGGTGAAGGGTTTGTTATCGAGTTGTTGTTGTTCCACTGTGTGTTGTTTACTGGTGTCTCACAAATAAATTATATTTATTCCTTCACTCCTGAAGCCTTCGATTCCCTGTGTAGGTCCACACACCTCTGGTCATACCCGGAGCCCTGACATTACACCAAGGCCAGTCCTGACCAGAAGTGGCTGCAGGGAAGCCATCTTGGCTTGTTGTTGTGAAGGATGCATCCTGAGGAGGTTGTGTACTTGTCTCTGCTAGCGATAGAAGACAGAGAATATGGCTATCAGATTCTGAAGGAGTATGCCAGGGATCAGCTGCTAGAGTGCATACGGGTCGCTCATTCCCTAGTAGATCAGGGCACAGAGTTTTCTGAGGTGCAGCCATTGATCCAGACTTGTGCTGAGTTGGCTCGGTCCTGTACCCCTGAAAGCAGGGATGACTTTTCCCCACCATTCAGTACGGATCAAGTACATTCACTGGTATGGTTGTTGGAGGATGATCCGTATGGCTTCCATGAGCATTATTCAGCATGTTCACCACATGTGCTTGTGGAGTGTATAAACGCAGTGCAGTCATTGGTCAGACAGGCTTTGTGTAAGCTGAGCTTTGTTCAACCCATACTGCAGACATGGACAGACTTGTTACATCCAACCTCAGTCAGCTTGCAACAACCCCGTCCTGCTTCTAATCATTCATCTTCTCAGAGCTCTCGGCCTCCATTCCCCACAGCACCCCCAGTTACGGCCCAGTATACCCTCCATTCCCCACAGCACCCCCAGTTCCTGCCCAATATACCCTCCATTCCCCACAGCACCCCCAGTTACGGCCCAGTATACCCTCCATTCCCCACAGCACCCCCAGTTCCTGCCCAATATACCCTCCATTCCCCACAGCACCCCCAGTTACGGCCCAGTATACCCTCCATTCCCCACAGCACCCCCAGTTCCTGCCCAATATACCCTCCATTCCCCACAGCACCCCCAGTTCCAGCCCAATATACCCTGCTATCAACCACATATCAGTCCCCTGTTCCCACTCGCTGCACCTATCCTGCCTTTAACCCCGTCAAGAAGTCCTCTGTAGCATCTGCTTCCTCCTCTATTCCATCCTCCAGCTCTTCTTTGTCCTCAGCTGCTTCCTCCATTTACAGACCTGCATTCACTTGCAGTGCTTCAGTAACTAAACCCAAGAAGAAGCGAAAAATTCTTTTCCAAGCAGTACCATCCTGCCAGTATCCAAATCGGCCAACCTGCTGTCTGAGAACCCACCTTCTGTTATCCAGCCTGATGCCCCAATGCCTGCTATCCCGCCTGATGACTCGCTGCCCATTATCCAGCCGGATGACCCGATGCCCTCTCTCCAGCCGGATGACTCGATGCTTGTCGCCCAGCTTGATGTCCCAGTGCCCGCTGTCGAGCCTGATGACCTGGTGCCCGCTGTCGAGCCTGATGACCCGGTGCCCGCTGTCGAGCCTAATGACCCGGTGCTCGCTGTCTCGGTGCCCGCTATCCTGCCTGATGACCCAGTGCACATTATTCAGTCTGAGGAACTGATTCCTGCCATCCGGCTGATGCCCCGATGTCTGCTCTCTAGCCTGATGCCCTGATGCCTGCTCTCCAGCCGGATGCCCCGATGCCCACTCTTCAGCCGGATGCCCAGATACCCGCTCTCCAGCCGTATGCCCCGATGCTTGTCGCCCAGCTTGATGTTCTGGTGCCCGCTATCCAGCTTGATGTTCTGGTGCCCGCTATCCAGCTTGATGACCCGGTGCCCACTGTCGAGCCTGATGACCCGGTGCCCGCTATCCAGCCTGATGACCCAGTGCACGTTATTCAACCTGATGCCCCGATGCCTGCTCTCCAGCCGGATGCCCCGATGCCTGCTCTCCAGCCGGATGCCCCGATGCCCACTCTTCAGCCGGATGCCCAGATGCCCGCTCTCCAGCCGTATGCCCCGATGCTTGTCGCCCAGCTTGATGTTCTGGTGCCCGCTATCCAGCTTGATGTTCTGGTGCCCGCTATCCAGCTTGATGACCCGGTGCCCACTGTCGAGCCTGATGATCCGGTGCCCGCTATCCAGCCTGATGACTCAGTGCACGTTATTCAGCCTGATGCCCCGATGCCTGCTCTCCAGCTTGATGCCCCGATGCCGGCTCTCCAGCCCAATGCCCGCTTTCCAGCCGGATGACCCGATGCCCGCTTTCCAGCCGGATGACCCGATGCTTGTCGCCCAGCCGGATGACCCGATGCTTGTCGCCCAGCTGGATGACCTGATGCCTGCTATCCAGCTTGATGTCCCGGTGCCTGCTGTCGAGCTGATGACCTGGTGCATGTTATTCAGCCTAAGGAACCGATTCCTGCTATCCAGCCTGATGACCCAGTGCCCGCTATCCAGCCTGATGACCCAGTATCCGCAATCCAGCCTGATGATCCTATCCGGCCTGATGATCCTATCCGGCCGGATGACCTGGTGCCCGCTATCCAGCCAGATGACCCGGTGCCCGTTATTCGGCCTGAGGAACAGATACCTGCTATTCGGCCTGATGACCCGCTGCCCTTAATCCGGCCTGATGATCCTATCCAGCCTGATGATCCTATCCGGCCGGATAACCTGGTGCCCGCTATCCAGCCAGATGACCGGGTGCCCGTTATTCGGCCTGAGGAACAGATACCTGCCATTCGGCCTGATGACCCGCTGCCCTTAATCCGGCCTAATGATCCGGCACCCGCTAATCCGCCTGATGACCCGATGCCTGCTACCCAGCCTGATGATCCAGTGCCCGCTACCAGCATGATGGACCGGTGCCCGCTACCCAGCCTGCTGAACCGGTGCCCACCGTGCAGCTTGATGTGCCTCTGCCTGCTGCCCAGCCTGATGTGCCTGATGCCCAGCCTGATGACAGGTGCCTGCTGCCCAGCCTGATGTTACTGCTGCCCAGCCTGATGTGCCTGCTGCCCAGCCTGATGTGCCTGCTGCCAAGCCTGATGTGCCGCTGCCCAGCCTGATGTGCCTGGTACCTGCTGCCCAGCCCGATGTGCCTCTGCTCGCTGGCCAGCCCGATGTGCCTCTGCTCGCTGCCCAGCCTGATTTGCCAGCCCGTGATGTCCAGCTAAACTGGCTAATACCTGATTCCCAGCCTGCCTCTGGAGATCCTGTGCCCAGCAACCTGCCTTCCTGTGTTTAGCTGCATAAAGATGAGTCTACCAGCAGGAGGCCCAGCCAGGTGCTTGACTCCGGCACTGGGATATCCAGCCAGTTGCTTGACCCGGATGGTGGAACATTTTGCCTATTAAGGACTGTTTGGAGCATCCTGAGGCCGCTCCTTAAAGGGGGGGTACTGTCAGGAAAGGACTCACTGCTGGTTGCAGTACCAGGACATACAAGCAGGTGTCCTTGCAGCAGCCAGGATCTCACCTCCTGCAATCAAGTCATCACCTGAGGCTGATTGCAGGAGGTGTACTTAAACAGCAACCAGGCCTGCAATCAGTGCCTTGGTGTTTTCCTTGAGCCTCTGCGATTTGCTAATGCAGGCCATAGACAGGGAGAAAAACCAGCCGAAAATTTGTTCAAAAAAAATAATCGGCCGATTTTCGGATCGTTTGTGGCTGAATTGGTCGGCCGGTTTTCTTGATTTTGTGACTTTTTTTAAATCGTTTACGTTGGGAAAAAAAAAAACGCCCGATTTTCACGGCAATGATGGGCAAATCAGAAGATCTTTTTCCCAATTAAAGAAATGCGCATGAGCTGTGACCAAAAAAAAGAACATCTGTATCTATTTGTATCCATACAAATAGATACAATGTTTGCAACCGCAATACTTAGAAATGTCAAAATCTATTAGCGGTGTCCCTGCAGAGAGCTCCGCTATGATATTTGACATTTAAAAGTATAAGGGTTGCAACATTGTATCTATTTGTATCCGAATAGAAACATCTGTATCCAAAATGGATACAAATAGATACAATGTTGCAACTTTTTCTTCTTATTATTATTCATATTCTATTTCTTCTTTTAAATGTCAAATATAGTGGAGCTCTCTGCAGGGACACCGCTATTATATTAATTGCCAGCCGTAGATGGGACAAAAATCAGCCAACTTTTTTTTTACCAATGGGGGGTAACGTCGGCTGAATCGACCGATTTTTCGTTTTTCTAAAAAAAAACGGCCGGTTTTCTCCCGTCTATGGCCTGCATGAGCCTGCTACCTGCTCTCTGTTCTGTGTCGTGTCTCGTCTCACCCTGCATCCCATGGTTGATCTCCCGTGTATGACCCTGGCTGGCCTGACTACTCTTGTTGCTGTTCGTGTTTTGTATTGGGTGAGGGGTTTGTTATCGAGTTGTTGCGCTGTGCGTTGTTTACTGGTGTCTCACAAAGAGCCTGGTGTTCCCTATGTCAGTCCACACGTCTCTGGTCATATCCAGGTTACTGACAGTAAAACGGGGAGTAACAGGCATAAGACAGAGTATACCAGGCAATGCATCTATTGTCATCAGGGCTGCCCAGGTGTAATTCCCACAAATGTCAGTAGGGGCAGCACAATACAGATCTGAGTACAAGAACCCCAGCACAGTTCAGCCTAGTGCAAACACAGTTATCTGCAGTCTCCTGGGGGGTGGGGGGTGGTAACACCCTTCTGACAAGGAAGCTGCTGGTAGAAAGTACCCTGATGATCAGCTAAAGGGATCTCCAGACAAGCTCCACCCACAGGGATTTCTGCAGGACCGTCCTAATGCACAGACACCCCTGGGAGCTGCCCAGGTGCCCCAGGTGTACGGGAGGCTCCTGCAGTTACCTTCCCAGCACGAGGAATGACATGTGGACAGAGCGGGTTATCAGTGCAGTGGGTAGGGGAAACTACTGGAAATGATCTTCTATGTGGCTCTTCCTGCAGCAGCTGAAATCTGGCATCACCTCCTCCCTCTCGGAATGGAGAGCCACACAGAAGATCAGTTCCAGTATATTCCCCCACCTGCCAAACTCATCACTTGCTCTGGTCCACATGCCATTCCCCCTGTCCAGGCCCCCGCTGTGTGCCCCCTGCCGTGCGCCTGCATGCAATGTGCTCACCCCTCTGCAGTTCTGCCAGCTTCCCTCTGCTCCTGCCGGCTTCTGCGGGGGACAGGGCATCTTCAAATGGGGCCCCAGTGCATTACTATGGCCCGAGGCCTATGATGCTATTAAGATGGCACTGGATCTGTGGACTGGTTCCATCTACAGGATCTCCATACAGGCTCCATTCACAGGGCTCTCCAGAGGACTCACCTACAGGGATCTCCATACGGGCTCCATTCACAGGGCTCTCCAGAGGACTCACCTACAGGGATCTCCATATAGGGCTCCACGCACAGGGCTCTCAAACAGGACTGGATCTCCATACAGGATCACCTACAGGGATCTCCATTAGGCTCACGCACAGGGCTCTCCAGAGGACTCACCTACAGGGATCTCCATACAGGCTCCACGCACAAGGGCTCTAAAGACAGGACTCACCTACACGGAATCTCCATACAGGGCTCCATTCACAGGGGCTCTCCAGACCCCAGGATCGCCTATGGATAGTATTCACTCCAACGGGATCTTTCACAGGGCTCTCCAGAGGACTCAAATCCAGCGATCTCATGCCATATCTGATGGCCACGAAAGGGCTCTCCCAGACAGGACTGACCTACAGGGATCTCCATACAGGACTGTCCTACAAGGATCTCCTCTCAGAGCTCCACGCCCAGGGCTCTCCAGACAGGACTGACCTACAGGGATCTCTGGACATGCTCTACATACAGGGATTTCCAAAAGCAGGTTCTACCTACAGGGATCTTCACACAGGAGATCCACCCACAGGCATCCCTGGACCCCATCCGTTCACAGAGACCTCTGGAACAGATCCACCCACAGAGATTTCTGTAAAGGCTCCACTCACATGCATCTCCAGACTGGTTCCACCCATAGATATCTCCAGACAGGCTCCACTCACAAGGATCTCTGGACAGGCTCCACTCACAGGGATCTCTGGACCAGCCCACCACCCACAGAGATCTCCTGGACCAGCTCACCACACAGAGATCTCTGGACACAGCTCCACACACATAGATTCAGGGATGCTAGACCGGCTCCACCCACAGGTATCTTCAGACAGGCTCCACC